GTTGACCAGGTTTTTCTTTACTGGGGGGTGGCGTGGCGTGGGGTGGGAGTGAGCTGCTTTGTTGCCTCTTGGCAGTATTGAGTCTTAGTCATGACTCTGAATAATGTTCTGGAAAATTGCTTTCTTGGATACATTTATCTTATAACTCTCTTTTTGAAATGTACGTTAACAATCAGTAGCTCTGGCTGGTTACTTGGGGAGACCCTGTAAGATATAAAACAGTTTAAAGTGCTCTCAGTTGTGGAGAGAGCCTTCCAAAGGCTCCCAAAATGATATTTGGATCTTGTGGGAGGAAATCTTTTCCAATTTTCTAGGTTTCTGTAAATATATATGAGTTATGTGGTTATAAAACCTTATGATGGAAAATATGTTTAAGAAACATTAATATGCTCCCAGGCAGGGACTGCACAAAAGATGCCCTAGCACATTTAATACCCTAGTTAAATGTATTGCACAAGCCCCGTTTTCTGGAACTGGATAAACAGAACATCTTTTCTTTCTGTTCTGAGCTCCCATCCCCCTTCCCTCTCCACCTAGTCACTTCAGTGGTGCAATAAATGGAAATCTTATTTCCTGCATCTGTAGATCTATTTACCTGGATGTCTAAGCTCTCCCTTCCTTTTCTCAAGTCTGTTCTTTCTGAAATGCGATTTTGCTTTCATCTCCCTGGCTTCTTTGCCCTCGTGGGTTTTTTTTTTTTTTTTTTAAAGCCTTCTCTAATCCTGCACTCCATATACTTGAATCTGTAATGTTGAACATTGCCATTCCGCATAGACACCTTTAAACATTCATCATCTCCCAGATTTGCATTTTCTTCCATTATGAACTTAAATCCCTTTTCACAGTCTGTAACAGTGGAAAAAAAATTTAAAATAAAAAAACCATTATCAAAAGCCATTTCTGCCAATTTAAAATGCCTGATTGGATGGCTTTATCTCCTTTGATAACTCCATTATCTTTGTAAACTATGACTTGGATTTATAGTTCTTTTGTGTTGTATGTATGTAGCATATGTATGTATTTAGTTATATTTATTACAAAGAGGAAGAACCTTATGCCCCTATTCCCTTTATGGTCTTTCATTTTTGGAAATCAAAGAAGTGGTGATTTTAAAATAAGAAAAGTGTGTGTGTTGGGGGGGGGGAGGGTTTATGATGGAGGCTGTGTGTGACAGGCAAAGCCTAAACCTTAAAAGCAAAAACGTGCTGACCCTTTATAGATCTCCTAACTTAAAAACGTGTCTGTTTGAGGGACCTCCATTTTTTTCAAAATAAAGTTCTTAAATGTATGGGGCAGGGAGCTGGCCAGTTGCAGGAATTGGGAGAGGAGGTCGTTCTAGGTGTGTGGCTTCTGCTCCTCATTGTTCACCTCCATGTCCCAGCTTCTTGTCTCTGAAACAATTTGATTGGACTCGACGTTCTCTGAGATTAAAAGCATGTTGGGGTGGATGTGCATGTCTGTGGTATATAAACGTTCCATGGGAAGCACCTGCCAGTGGAACAGGAGGCAGCCTGGCAGATCGCTGGTGGTTGATAACATGGTTTTCCTGCTCTGGAGAGGATACCTCATCCTACCTGGGCCGGCATTTCTGCTACAGCAATGGGTAGGGTGATTGAAGTGTGTCTCATCATTTAATTGAGGTAGGAATAAAATAGGTCACAGTTCAAAGAACACCAACTATTCGGAGCTAAGGGGAAATGTGCCCACAGTGCTGGTTATTTCAGTGAAAAAGGTTTTAATTCCTCTAGAAACCTCTTTAAGCATCTGCTGAGGAATGTAAATCAGCCAGAGAATTTCTGATGTCATGTTGCCCAGAACCAATGATTCTCGTGGTGGCCCCTAAGAGATTTTCACTTTCTGTCACTGACATTGCCTGCGTCCTTGTGATGCTCTTGGGTTTACTTTGACCTGAACCCCTTTGCTCTCATGGAGTTAAAGTACCAGGCTCCAGAATGCTGCCTGCAGCTTCTAGGCTGCTGGATCACCCCACTTGTTTCATATATAAAACTTCTCTCCCTGCTTTGTGCCTTTTTAATAAAAGGGAGCTGGAGGTTAGACACCTGCAATTGTGTCTTTAAAACAAACTAATGGGACAGCATGTTTGGATGGACATGATGATGAGATGTCAAAGTAAACTTGAAATGGAAACCTTTCCTTCCTGAGTCCCATCTCCAAGTCTCGTTTTATTGCAGACTGCATCAAATCAGAGTGCAGCTGTTCTGAAGGTCCTCATGGTTACAGCCTGCTTTGGAAACTCACCATACTTGGAGTTAATGAAAATATTTGCTTTGCTTGATATAAACAAAGCTTATGGGCGGAATTTATAATTAGGAAACTCTTTAATTTTTTTATTTTTTACCCTTCACTCCCCAGTTTTTTGTTTGTGTCGCATTAGAGAATACTAAGGATTTAAGAAAATAAACCCTTTCTCAGTAATGAGCTTTACTCTTTTTTTTTTTTTTTTCTGGTGTTGTCACAGTAGAGGCATTTCTCCCTAATTTTGTGTGTCCCCATCCAAATTAAGGGGCTTGAAGTCTGGTTTGGGTTTTTTTTGTACAGGTCAGAAATACTGGCGTATGAGAAGACCTTACCTAGTCACAGCCCTGCTCCTATCAGCGTTTTGACTACCAGGTTCGGGATTTCGATGGCATAAGGGCAGTATAGCTCTTTGCAAACCACATGGACAACCTCTTCAGCCCTCCCCCACTTCCAATTTGTGTTTCCCTTGGGGCTATGGCCTCAGCAACTCCCAGGTTCTTCTGTCTCCTAAAATTCCTTGCCAAATATCCAGGAATTAGGTGACCAGCCACCATTCTTATAGGCATAGCACCTGCTTGCATCCCCCAGATGAGCCCAATGTGGCAATGGGGACTGGTTGTGTGCCAGATACTGGACTAGAGAAAACTGTTCTCCTTCCCTCTACTTCCTCAAGTCTCCTCAATATATGGAGGATACTCAGCACCAGCAGGCATTGGCTTTATGGTGTACCCCTACCTCGCCTTTGGGTTCCTTCTTTTGACAGATAGTCAAAGGAGAGGCAGCTGGGAAACTTGATGTCCTGGTTCAAGACCTCAGGGAGGTGGTTTCAAAAAGATTTCTGGCTTATCTCCAGTGGTGGAAGAGTAGCTCCTGAGTCTTGGGAATTGGTGGTGATGGGATCCTACAGTGACGATCAGGAAGTAGGGTGAGCAGCGAGGGTCACAGGAGGACCAGAGTGGGTGATGTTGCGGTTCACATAGATCTAGGATCTAAGAATTCCTGCTTCCTTCCCTCAGGGACAGAATGCTTGTGTGAATGTTTTTGTTTTGGAAGTTCTAGTGAGAGTTTCCTGATAATTTTGTGTTTTTCTTCAAATACCAATAACTTGGACATTTACTGATAAATCTTTATTTTCCCAAGTCTGTTAAAATCCCTTCAAGTATAGCTGGCCCTGGGTAGACTCAAATGACCTTTCTAATGTTGCCAACTTATTCATTGTGGGACCCACAGCTTTTCCATTCACAGCTTTGCTGGTTTTGAGTTGCCTTTGAAAGTCAAGCATGAGCCTATCTGCCTGTTTTAACCTTGCACCCTTACCCCAGTCTGTGCAGGGGGTGACTACCTTTTTCACCATGCCTCCTAACATGAAAAACAAGCACAGCGATGTGCTTTGAACTTGATGGTTTGGGTCACATCCCTTTTGAGTCTTGCACACAAAGATCTATAAAAATTAAGCTTCTGACTCAAATCCAAGCCTTGATTTTTCAGAGTCAGGAAGGCTTGGTAAGGACCAATTGGGTGTTACTTATCAGAGAGACTAGTTTGCTTCTGGAAAACTTTCTATATCTTTCCAGTTCTGCTGTCTATATATTAGAGCATGTAGAAGTTTTAATAGGGTAATGGGAAAAAAAAATAGGGTAATGACTTACCCTCCCTCCTCACCCATCCTCAGTTGCTTCTTAGTACACCCTGGAGGGGAGGAAGTGATGGGTGGGGAAGGAGTAATAGAGGACAGTTTATTATCTGAATGCTTGAGAACCAGCTATATCTTTTTCAGAGCTGATTTTAGCCAACATACGCCCTTTCTTTTGTACTCTCTATACTGTAATTGCGTCCTCTGTATTTTGTCATTGGATCTGCTTACCCTAGAATATCTAATTTCATGATAGTAAGCTTGTTTGTCCTTCAGTTCATTTAGGGGCTGAATACCAAGGAGAACCAGCTTCATCAGTGAGTCATGTTTCCAGTCCCATGACTATGGGTTGAGTTGTAGGAAGGTGGACCCTCTGCCATGTGGAGTGGAGCTGATGAGAGAAGAGATATATGATGCTAGGGGGAATGTTGAAGTAGTGTTACCCTTCCTTGGGTTGGTTCTCTTACTGGAGAGAAGTGGTGGGCAGCCAGGGAGTTCTGGAAATAACTTGTTCTGGAAAGAACTTTGGCATTTGAATCTGTTCTATGATCCCTATGTAAGACCCCGCTCCCTTGAGCTGAAATCATAGCTTCTTATGGATCATTCATACTTGGTTTTAATCTAATCTCAGGGGGCACCTGCTTGGCTCTGTTGTTTAAACGTCTGACTCTTGATTTCAGTTCACTTCATAATCTTAGGGTCCTGAGGTTGAGCCCTGCATTGGGCTCCATGCTCAGCAGGGAGTTCACTTGAGGATTCTCTCTCCCTCACCACTACCCCCCCCCCTCCTGTTCTCTCTCTCAAATAAATTAATAAGTCTTAAAAAAAAAATCTAATCTCAGATTGATGGCTTTCTGGACCCATTGGTAGGAGGGAAACTGGGCCAGTTGATAGGGGCCAGAAAGGGGTATGAGTTCACTGATACTTGAGTGGTTAAACTCGAATTTTCTCTCACACTGTAAAAAGTCATGAGTGGTAAAGAAAAAAAAAACTTAAAAAACAACATGCACATAAGATATATGGGAATTCTATTCTAAGGATGTAGTTCTTAGGAATTAATCTACCTGTAATGGATGATCTAAGTTAAGATTTTCTCTCTTCATTCCAGGAGGTGACTTTGGTCCAGAGACTTCCCCTCAAGTCCTACCCTCTGGCCATGGTGGCGACTTTTCTGTGAGTAGCCTTCCTGTAGCAGAGGACACCTACAGGGTGAGCTTGGCCAAAGGGGTCTCCATGTCTTTGCCTTCATCACCTCTGCTGCCTCGACAGTCTCACTCGGTGCAATCAAGATCAAATAAAAAATCTCCAGGTAAATAAGCAACAAAACACCCAAACTAGCTATTTTGGTTATATCTGTAATGCATGTATTGAAAGTAAGCAAAACCAGTGCTTATAAGGAATTTTCTGGGAGGTATTTTTCTTTGTCACAGTGATTTCTGGAAGAAGATCTTTAAAACAGAAAGTTATGGTTTGAATAGACTTCTCTCTTTAGCTCAACCTGTATACAAACTATTTTGATTGCTCAGGCTAGACTTTTACAAAGATACAAGATCTTATCAGTATTAATGTTAATCATTGGTCTGGTTTTCTTGGTCATAAATTAGGAAATGCCATAATCTAAACTCATTGTGGTGTGTTTAAGTTTTGTATTTTGGCAAAGGTAATCTGACAGCAGTCCATTTATTATTGCCAAGTGTTATATATACCGATATACTTTCTTTGATTACATCACCCAGCATTTGAACAACTATAAAATTTGTGAAAATTCACACTTGTAAAGGCGTGGGGGCAGGTCTTATGGATTACTTGTTTAAAATAGTTTGGCTTCCCTCATCATTACCAAGTTTTTGTACTTAACATTACCAGTGAAAACACAAATGTTACTTAACTTGAGCAGTTATGATTCAGATGTGAGGAAAGCCTTTCCAAAATGCTGATACCTGCAATCATAAGACTTTGCTCTTTTAGGTTTGCTGAGCATTTGTTTACTGAGGGCAGGAGAGTTTGGGGGCCTTTATTGATCGTAAGTGTAAGGATTCTTCTCATTTATACAGAAATGAGTTCAGAATTGGTCTAAAATGTGCCTTGGGGTTATAGAATTGGTATCTGTTTTTCTGGTTTCATAAGTACTTGTATTACTTGGGATATGACAGGCATTATTTCTGAATCATTTAGTGGACATCTGCAGTTTGTGTGGTGTCAAAATTAAGACGGCAGATCTTGAGGCTTTGAATGTTAGAAATGGTGCTATGAATTGGTGAGTGTCCAAAACCTTTTATTGTTCTAGAGCTTTCTTATTTTGGACAACATTGTTTACAATCCAGTCATTAGCTGGAACTTGGAAACCTTTTTGGTATGAAGCAATTTCCTGTGCCAAGGAATTTGACCTGTTTATCAGTATTTGGGGAAATTCCTGGAATGTCCTTCCTTCTCTTTGCATTTCCCTACCCCTATATCTCTTTGTTGGATTTCTTCCCTTCTTTCAAATCATGGTTCCCACAGTGCCTTTCTTGATGGTTAGCCCACTAGAATTACTCTTCTAATTACAGATTGTGTATAGCATTTTACTTTTTCCTTTATCAGCCATGTCATTTGTCCTTTTTCCTTGAATCAGTGTATTTATGTGCACCTTTGTGTCTGATGGGCATGGCTAGGCACGATGTCTTCTTTGAGTATACCTCATCTATATAAAACAGATAATAGAATTCTGAACCTGTCTGGATTCTTAAGGGCAGTTGAGGGTAATGCAAGGCTAAGTGCAGAGATAATGACCTTTGGTAGAATTTTTCCTCCTAAAGCCTGTGCTGCTGCAAATGAATTGATGCTGCTTGGGCCTTAGGCCTGGTGAATACCTAAGAGTCTAGGGAATATGCATTTCAGATAGAATTTTATTATTAGTGGAAGTTTGTTTTAGTGGGACTTGAATCTTTTTAAAAATTTTTTTAAATTTGATTTTTCCAGCTCTGTTGAGATACACTTGATGTGTTACATCATGTAAGTTTAAGGTGTACAGCATAGTGATTTTTTTATATGCATGTATAAATTGCAAAATGATGACAGTAAGGTTAATTAACACATCCATCACCTCATAGTTACAGTGGGTTTATTTAGTGGGGTTTTCGTGGGATGTTAGGTAGCAATGAATGGCATGGGAAGTATTGCTATCCGGGAAGGTCTTGAGGCCACAGGCTCTTACTGGTCAGAAATCCATGATGAGGCCTGGTCTCCTGTGTCCTGACCAAATTTGATATTTTTAGTTTTGAGAAAATATTCTATAGTTTGTTTTTCTCCATAGGAATAAAATTTATTTCTGTTAAATTCTTTGCAAGGCCTTATGAATAGAAGGGAGTAGGGGTGCAACACTAACAGTCTCTTAGTGGACTGAAGAGAATATTCTCCATATTTGATGCTTTGGGTCCAAATGAAATACACTCAGCAGATTCTTCTCTAACAGAGCCAGACTTGTGCATTGCCCAAATTTGTGCAGCAAATTAATGTCTCACAGTGGTGATTTGGCTTCATTATCTTGGCAATTTTAATTCAAAAGGAAAGCTAAGGGCAGAGATGCTTGCTTAAAAATGGCAGTGACTCAGAATACATCAGACAATAAACAATGTTTTTCCAGTGTCTAACGCACACAGGTTTCTGTTTAAGCCATATTGTTAGAAAAGTATCCAGAGACCTACTGTTCTACCTGCCTGTAAAATTGGTTGGCATATGGTTGTGAACGTGCATTGGATTTAAAAATAGCCATCTATTTAAAAACCTCACACTGTTGTTAATGATAATGGTAAATACAGTGTGGTGCTGTGCCCCGAGGTGCTGAGCCTTCCCCTGCACTCCCCTTACACCAGATCTTGTCATCTCTCAGACCCAGCTCTGAATTTCCTTGATGATTTCTGTTCTCATTTCTAAGATAAGACCCCTTTCTCTTTTAAGAAGGTGCATTATAAAAGAAAAAATTAAACCTGTTTTACTTGTTTGGATAGAAACTTTTCACTAATTGATGCTAATCAAGAAACTGTCAGGAACTGAAACTATTCTAGCAAAGGTCAAATACTATAAACCCCTGTAACAGGCATTCCACGTAGCTTGTTTTAATGGAAGTTTGTATTCTAATACAATAGGTGATTAGCTCTTGGGCCATGGGAACTCTGGGTCAGAGACAATTTCATTAACCTTGCAATAATGTGACCCTGCATTTTTCATGGTTGAGTTTCTTACATTCCACTTAGATCACTAGTTAATATAATTTACTCTCCTACTATCTTGCTCCATATATATATTTTTTTCACTTGTTAAAGATAGTTTTTGAGTATTGTTTCAAGTTTTTTTTTTTTTCTTGAATGTAAACTACATTTGCTGGTAAAGAAAACAAAAGGACCAGTCTCCATTAGAGTTAAGTGGTGATTGCAAGCATTTTTGGATTAAGAATTCATTAATATTTGCAATGTATCCTTTTGTCTTCCAGAGAAGAGCAAAGCCCATTTCCTGTGATTTATTTATTAGTCATATCATTAGTTATTTTATATTTGGATTATATTTCCCAAATCACTTTGGGCCCATTATGAAACACTCAAAAGGTGGGGCATGAACAGGAAGCAAGCTTTTAGAATACTATGATGGGGCATAGCAGTAGATGGTGGAAAGTGGGGGTGATCTGCTCTTTTCATCCTCACTTGTGGAAAGACTGAATAGTGCTGGCTAGTTGCACCTCTGCCGCTTCCAGTTCCGATTCCTCATGTAGTTTTGAAAACCTCTCTGGCTGTCTGTTTCTTTAAGGCAGAAACCTCAAAATGACAGGCTATAAAGTGGAAGTCATTCTGCCCTTTGATTCTTGGACCATAAGTTAATTGTCTGTTAAGGCCCTCTCTCGCCCCACAGAAGTGTTTCTTAAAGAAAATTAGCGTTTTTATTTAAAAAGATTCTTAAAATCTACTCCATCTAGACCTGAGACCATATGTACTGCCTCTTTTCATTTAATATTATATCATGAACAGTTTCCAGTTTGCTTGAAGAACTTGAAATTTAATGTCTTTTGTTCCAATGTCCCATGATTGATTTTTAACCAATTTCCATTTGTTAGATATTTGTTATTTTTCAGGTTTCTTAAAATTGTAGCATGAGCCAAGATATTTTGCTTTGTTTTGTGATTAAATGCCTATGAACTCAAAATTTTTTATTGTGGTAAAATACAAGTAACAAAATTTGCCATCTTAACTATTTTTAAATGGACAGACCAGTAGCATAAAGTACATTCACATTGTTGTGCAACCAGTCTCCAGAGTTCCTGATGTGAATGGTTTTGTCCCGTAATTTTTACCCACATCTGATGTCATAAGAGTGGCAAGTTCCCAGAAGTGGAATTATTGAACTAAATGGGTTGCATTTTTAAAGATTCTTGATGCATATTGCCCACTTTCCAGAAAAGCTGTATTGATTTCACATTCCCTCCTGCATTCTTTGAGAGGCTTCTTTTTGAAGTTAACCGTCTACTGGGAATGGTCTTAGATGGATAGTGCTACTGAGGTCCGAATTAGTAAGAAGGGGCTGAGAGAAGTCCTCCTGTCACCTTCCTCTTTTGAACTTCCCTTCTGTCTGCACTTCTTAGACCATTCCCGTTTTCTTTCTTTCCATGTTACTGTGTCAGGGGAATTATTACAGCTGAGTCAGATCAAGTTCATGGTCAGAAAAACACTCAGCTGGCTTCCAGTTTTAGCTACAACCACACTCTGTTATGTGGGGAAGGTCATAGACATTTTATTTTTTCTTTTTTTAAAGATTTTATTTTTAAGTAATCTCTACACTCAAGATGGGGCTCAAAATTCACAACCCCGAGATCAAGAGTCGCACACTCCTCTAGCTGAGCCAGCCAGGTAGGTGCCCAGAATCATAGACACTTTAGAGTTAGTGAAGCCTCCAGACCAGGTCAGGCCATCCGTGCTGGCCTCTTTGCAGGTATGGGAGGGATGGAACTTGCCCCAGTATGTAAGTTACTGGTAGAGCCTTGTACTGAGCCCAGGTCCCCAGCATGTCTCTGATGCCAGTCTGTGTTGTACTTACTGCTTGTACACTGTGGACACATGAGCTGTAATGATGTGGGTTTGTGTTCTGGTTGCATGCCCACAGGGAGGCCATGAGCGTAATGTGCCCACGTGCATTGAGTGAGGCATTTTTGGGGGTGGGAGGAGAGTAACCCAGGAAATGCACAGTCCCAGCACAAACCTGCTTATAGCATTGGCCAGTTTTAGGCTTTGCTTTCACCTAAGTGGTCAGGGCCACAATTAGGGCTCTGACTTTCAGCAAGGA